CTTTATTATCATAGTGAAAAAAAATCTACCTCTAACTTTTCCTTTTGTGATGCATCTTCTATGACATCCTCATGTGATTTGGTGATCAGTGATGAATCAAATATGGTGAAGGCATCAATCAATTTAACGTCTGGGAATCTTTCTTTTAGGTTCTTAATAACTGCTTCTATGTATGGGTAGTATATCTGCAATATGCAAAGACAATATACGTATAGTCAACAATTGTTCGGTTGCAGTTAGTTAAGTAAATATTTGTGCCACAGTTATTTAAAAATTTAAATAAAATGTTAGCCAAGACAATTTATGTTATCAGCTTATTGGGAAAAGGATATGGACAATGTTTTACTAACCTTGGCTTTAAACTGTGCCTTTTTTGTATCCTCTACAACAGGTAACTGGGGCTCAAAGTTTGTAATTACATCATCCACACTCCTTGTATATTCTCCCTCATGGTGAATCAACTGACTTATGATAGTGATTGTACTTGACAGAACAGGGTCTATCAATGAAAGGTCAAGATATCTTCTCTGAAATAAAAAAAACAAATGTTACACAGAATTTTCAGGAAAAGCACACAATAATGCACCAAATGACAGGACTGAAAAATTACATCAACTTTTTTTGAAAGCTTACCTGAAAAAGTAATGACAGCTTTGTCAAATGAGGTAGCACATCACTGAGTAGGTAGAGGGTGGCAATAAAATTGTACTGTTTCATGAACACAGATAATCCAGCTGCTGTTGCATCACCACGCTCTGAGGCTTCTCTCTCAAGACTGACAATAACTGATGGAAGACATCTTCTTAGTGAATCCACAGCACGTTGGTGGGATAGCCATCGTACAGATTTTGCCTCTTTCAGTTTTAATACTGGATCACCAAGAATTTTCTGGAAGGCCAATAAAAAGTACAATATTATTGATTAATCATGCAAAGAGTTAAAAGAAAACATGAAACCAATGTAAGCTCCCAGGCTCATGTACAGAAACAAGAAAATTAAATATTTGTCAAATATATAAATTATTTTACCTGAATTTCTGTTAATCCAGCCATTCGAACTGAAGAATTTTGATAATAATAGAAGAGCTGCTGTAAAATACTGCTGAACTTCTTTATGTAAGGCACTTCATTGACAGTCTGTGATGAGGCAAGTGCCAGTCTGTGAGCCATGCAATGAATGTTAATCAATTCAGGACTTTTCTCTCGAAGTCTGGTAGAAACCTACAACAAATAAAGATGAAAATAATGAACAATAAATGAAATATATACTTAGTTTATGACATTTAATTTAAAAATTAAAAACAAAAACTTACCCCTGTTTTTTTCCCAACCATTACGGATGCACCGTCAGACCCTAATCCAGACAATTGATCAAAACGAAGCCCTGTCTTCTCAAAAAACTTCTCTGTACTTTCTACAATGGTTTCTGCCTTTCCATTAATGAGATCATCCATATTTATGAATGCTGTTTTCACCTGAATAAAATCAAGGAAATCATGTGTCATTATACTCTTTTTTTTATTTCAATAAAAAAACTAATATATTAGTTGCCCATTTTTATCATGTCTAGATGCATTTAATTGTCAAAAACTTACCTCACAAGTATCACCACTGAATGTCAGATATTTTCCATAAGTAATTAGTTGTTTCATCACAGCGACATCGGTGGTCTCATCCATCAATAACGAAAACACAGGGCTCACTTTCATGTCATTTATAATGGATCGCGAGATGATATCACTCATCACACAAATCAGCTCCTGAATAATGCGCTCTGATGTGTAGTGTGCATTGCCACCCTAAAAATAATTCAAAAATTTTGTTATAATAACATATTTTTATTGCATCTTTAAAAACGCAAATTTCTATCAGTGGTAAAAAATAAAA